AAAGAGAAGTGTTTTAGGATCACATGCAGGTACAAGCCTTGATCCCTGGCGGTGAAACAACCTCTCCTTCATGGCACAGAGCTCAGGATGTGCCTGATCTTTGCTGCTGACCCYGTGCTGCAATGTTAATGTAAAACCTCTGTGCTGTGCTGTGATTGAAGTGTGGATTCGCGGGCTGCAGACACTGACATTGTCATCTTTGTTGCTCTGAATAGAGCCCTAAATTTATGGCAGACAGCCTGTTTTCCTCTTGAAAGGACTTCATAGATACAGTACATACAAATATTTGTGTATAATGTCAACTGTCTTCCAAGAAAATTTCATGCACATATTGATTAGACAAATCCATTAACGTTACGTTGCGGTGCATTTCTTAGGAACGTCTCCCTACCCATTTTCATCGCATCTTAATTATTTCTGCTTCCACCCGTCCTTTAAAGCAAGGGTGAGTAAATCTCTTAGCTGCTTTTCAGGTCTGGTTTTGATCTAGAGCTGCACGTCAGCAGCGCTCTTCTGTGCCACACACGACTGGCTGCTGGGGTTTTTTAGGCATCACAGTTGGTTGGACTCTTGGAGGTGGATGTTAGAGCTTGGTATTAATTAAGGATCATTAACAAAGGTCTCCTTAATTTTTATTTCAAAATAAGTGAGTTGACTGGAGGATATTTACCTTTTATTTCTTGTTTGAGGAGGAAAATTGTCATGTAGTTAGCATTTGATTAAAGATGACTTTGTTGTTTTTTTCCAAAAACTGCATCATTTAATGTAATTAAACATGAGCTTTGTTGTCAATACTCTTCAGTTAAATGCACTGGTGAGTGCCAGTAGCATTTTTTCTTATTTGCTGTGTCTGCATGGTGTGGTGGTACTAGGTTTTGCCTTTTAATAAGGTATTTAGCTGTCATTTTGTGGGCTGCCTCTTAACGTCTTCTGTAGACCATCCATRGTCCGTAGACCACAAGTTGAGTAACATTACTGTGGATTTAAGAAACAGAATATTCTGTTAATCTTATTTCAGCACGTTCTTGCTATTTAAAAAAAAAGGTGTATTTTGAACTCAAGCCATATGTTTTCRTTGGGATCTTTAAAACTCCTCTGAGAACAGATGAACCGGTATTTTCTGTGAGCTGGGAGTGCCTTGCTGTTCTCACCTTTCAGGCAGATGAACCAAGGCACGGCATAATTACAGCAACTGGCCCACATTTGGGACCTGGCCTGGGAATCCTGCTCTCCCTGAGGAGCCTGGAACCCAGGTTGGCTGCAACTTTGAAGAGCAACAAGTGCGTTGAATGATGTTAGTTGAACTTTTTTTTGCAACTAGATTTAATGGCAGAGCTCCTTGGCATGTGGGGCATGTGGGTCAGCTTGTAGCAGCTTGTAGTGTGCTGTTGTGGTGTGATGTGGGAGAACAGGGGTGGGGAAACCATTTTAGATGGTAAATGTCACGTGAAGAGGAGAAACAGGAGAGCAGGATAGTGGCAGGGGGATGATGGGTGAGTTTTGAAGGCTTCAGMAGTGCAGCAGGATTTTGTGAGTCTTTCAACAGGTAGAAATAAACAGCTACAGGAGCTTCCACAGGCGCTCAGCTCGTCCACAGGTTCATGTTGAAGCCCTCACTGTGGTTTTGGTGATAACCTCCAGCTTTCTYCTGTTCCTAATCAGAGCCCATAAATCTCCTGGTACCTAGTGCTGTAATGGCTAATGCAGGTCTATGGGTAAAACAGCCTCAGATGGAGACTCCAACTGGGGAGGGGGGGAAATACCTTTCCTGTGAGACAATGTCTGTTCTTCATCAAAATCAGTTGAGAAAGTAAGAACCAAAGAGTTTGAATTTAAAGATTTAAAGTGYCTGGCTGTGCTCTCTCATTTCCATTAATCTATTCCTATTGTTCATGTTTCTCTCTTAAAAATAATTAATCAAGGGCTGTGAGGAGGCACCCCAGTGTCTTTTGCTGGGTACAGGTGGCYTGGCAGTGTCCCAGGTGTGTCCCCAGCCAAATGTGCTCCCACTTCACTCCCTGGTGCCAGCACCCATGGCCATTTCACCTGCTGGTCATGGACTCTCCTCCCTGGAGCAGTGCTGGGCACACAGAGTGTAAAAATGGGATCTGAGGCATCTGCAGAGCTGCCCCAGCACTTTGGTGACCTTGTTTGGCTCCAGCCCACAGTCCTGCTGTGGTAGGAACATCCAGGGCCTGAGGCTTGTGCTGAGATGTTGCTGGTGACCTGCTGTTTGCAGATGTGGAAATGCACGGACTGGGCTTTTTGCCTGTTTGCAAGGACCATGTGATTTTTACTTTTGTCTTCCCAGGYCTTCTAACGAGAAGCCTCAGTAGAGGCAGAGGTGTTTTGCTGCCCTTGTTAAGGAAAAATCCCTTTGTGTTCCTGCTAGCTTGTGATGAATGCAGGACACAGCTCACAGACACTGTGCCTTGGTACAGGATGGTTTTGTTGGCCTCTGTATTTTCATCCTGTGTCTGTATCTTTCTAGCAGACAGCTAACTTTTTTTTCAGTTGCACAGACAGCGGCAAAAAAGCTTTTAAATTGTTTTAGAGCTCGATACCATGTAGCTTTGCACCTGGTGCTGAATTTTAGACCCAATTACTGATCTGAAGAGTTAAAAAAAAAAAAAATCATCCCATTTCTTTTACTGTAGACAGCTGCCTSGGCATGGCCAGGTCTACCTGCTGTGCTTCCAGGAAGCCTTGGCTTGCTCAAAGCTGCCAGGGACTCTGGGCCCTCCAACTAGGACTGTGTATATGTGTGTGTGTATGTATTTACATGTGCTAATTAACTTGTAGGTGGCCACGAGCCAAGAGTCTGAGTTTGAATGTGTTATAAGAAAAATACCTCACAYTACTGCAGATCCTGCTGAGCTTTTGGAGCCCTCGAGAGCCCCAAGCACGAGTCCTTGGCAGCAGCAGGGAGGGTGCTCTGTGTCCTGGAGGGTGAGCACAGTGGGTGTTGCACCAACAGCTCAGAGTGGGAACGGGTGATTMAAATCCCATCCAGTCGGAAGCGCGAGGGGAAGTGGGACTGTCATACTGGAACTACAAATACGGAGCTCTGGGCGCCTCTGAATTCCCCCGCGTGTGCTGGGGCTTTCCTGCCCGGGGTGGATCGCCCTGAGCACGCCAAGCTCCTGCATGGGGAGGCTGGCTTGTCTGGGATGAGGGTCAGGATGCTCTTGGTGCTTCCCTGGGGTGCCAGGTAAGGTGTCTGGGGCTCAGCAGGGTCCAGGATGGGGGGAATCCCTCGGGAGCGAGCTGAAAGCAGGAGGGACCTGCTTGGCCCTTTGCACCCTGCCTTGAGAGCTAAACYTTGCCATTCCTTTTTCCATTTGTCACTTGGCAAAACACCTTTTTTTCCAAAAAGACTCACCTGACCCACATCAAGAGTGTGGCGATGTCTTTGTGTGTCTGTCACTCTCAGACCTCATGGGGTTTCTCTGGAAAGATGATTTTTGTCCAATTTGACCTCTGTGTGTGASAGCCTGCCTGGGCTGCTTTGCAGTGGCCTCTTTTCGTGCCTGGCTGCCAGGACCGTTGCCTTGGTTTGGTTTTTTGTGGCTCTGAGGCTTCATCCGTGCCAGCAAACCAGTGAGGCTGCCCCGTGCCTGCCTGCAGCAGATAGCGAGGGGTTTATCAGCATGGGCTCATCTGTGGTCTCACAGCAGGGAAAAGAAATAGAAAAATAAAAGCTTCCTCTTTCTTCTTTCTTTTTTCCTCGCTTTCCCACTCCCTTTTTGTTTTTTGTGCATGCTAACTGCTGTTTCAGTTGAAATTGCATTGGCTGGGGCTGGCTGTGCTCTCCAAGCACTGAGACCACAGGAGTGGGCAGAGGCTGCCGGGAGCTTGTGGCACTGGAAGTTTCTTTTGCTGTTCCTGGTGTGCTGATGGGAGGTTTTGGTACTGCCAAAAACCTTGCACAAATCTGTACAAAATACATACCTGCACTGGGGAGGGGGCGTGTGAGTGTGCACAGCCCCAGGGGGGATGGAGCATGGGGCAGCAGTGGGAATTTATGCTTTTGTATAACTAACTGCTAATATGAGAATAATAATTAATGCCCCTCACACTGACAGCAATGAAAAACAGCATTTAGACTTTGTTACTTTCTCATTCTAGTACAGACAAAAAACAGGAGATTTAAAATTATCACCAAGCAAACAATGTGAAGTATCTATAAAAAATCAGTAACTTGTCAACATCTATAAAAATCAGTAACTGGTCAATCGCCCCTCGGGGCCAAGGGGCACTTTCCCATTTTTTTTTTTTTATTTTCCTCATTTTGTTGCAGCTGCTCAAGGAATTGCAACAGGTGGTACAGGAGTGAGCACATGACAGGGATGTTTGTGAAAATACCTTCAGGGCTTGGGAGTATTCTCTGGCTCTGGGTCCCTATCAGAAAGGCTGATCCAGGTGTGTGACATGCTTTAGTCCTGGCTTTTAGTGCAGCTTTGTGGATGGACACAGCTGCAGGCGTGGTCAGTGCCTGGTGTCCCTCCTGCCATGAGGTCAGGAATTACCTCAGAGGGCCACAGAAGTGGCCACAGCTTGGAAAGGAAAGTGCTGACATTGGAGAGTGTGGATGTCGAAAGGGAACTTAGGCCTTTTTGGACCCTGTGTTGAAATGCTAAAACTCTAGGCTGTGTTTTTGGAAACTGAGTCACCCTGCAAAAACATACCCATCTCCAAGATGCTTAGAGGTCAATAGGACCCAAATAAAAGTTGCTGACCATTTGGCTTCCTGGTCCTGGTGGTGCTGGGCAAAGGCTTTCCAGGGAAATTGGGTGGGGTAAATTTACATTTGGACTTCCTGTGATAGGAGTAATCTACAGAAAGCAATTTGGCTGTGGGGTTTGCCAGATTGAAAACGGGGCTGCTGGAGAACTGGAAGGGCACTGAGGTTTTGGTGATCGCCCAAGGCCTGGTGTTGGTTGTCTCATGGGACTGCGGCTGACTGAATCCTAACCTGCTGCTTTCCTGTTTCCTTGCAGCTATTGCGTGACGTGGGAAGCACACACACRATGAAGAGGAGCTCTCGGCTCTCCTAATCCTTCTCTGACAATTTGGAAGCAGCAGCAGCACCCGCCGCTGCCGCTCTCCCGACATGTCTGGCTCCACGCAGCCCGTGGCGCAGAGCTGGCGCGCGGCCGAGCCGCGGTACCCGCCGCACGCCATGTCCTACCCGGTGCAGATTGCCCGACCACACGCGGTAAGGCCRAGCTTTTCCTTCCYTTCCCTTCCCTCMCCACTCGCAGGGTGGGAGCCACGTGGGTGTCCCCAGGGCTGGGGCAGTGTTTCAGCTGCGCCAGGCGCACATGCGGCTGTTGCAGAGAAATCAGACCGTTTCCGTGCCTGTGGTACAGGATTTCATTGTTCCTCTCTCGTGGGATCCTCTTTTGTTTCTCCATATGGTGCTTTCAGTTTTTCTCTCCCTTTCCAGCCTTTTCCAAGTCCTTGCTGTGGCGGTGCTCGTGGGCTTTGGCTCATCATTTCTGAGCGCCCGTGTCTGTTTGTCCTGCCGGTGAGAGCACCTTTGGTTGGGTGCAGCTCCGTTTGGGTGGAGCAGGAGCACGTCCAGCCCTCCTTGGCACGGTCTTTCCTTGGCACTGATCAAAAGGGAAGGGCCATGGTACATGGCCTCTGGTACATGTGGGCTCACTGCTTCCCAGAGAGCTCAGTCCTTGCTCCTCACACCCACAGGAGAGCTCTCCTGGTTCAGGGGCAAACTGCTGAGAGTGAACCTGCCCTTCATTAGGAGACCTGCCTCTCTTTGTGCAGCACTCCTGGGGAGCAAGAAGATAACTGAGCTGCTGAGCTTTCTATTTTATCCTTTCCTCCACTTTCCCTCCTCTTAGTCTTGACCTGTAGTCTTTTTTCTCCTTGGATCAAGGCATAAGCTGGAGATGATCTCATTTTTTTTGGCTGTGTCTTGTTGAATGTACCAGAACTCACAGAGGTTAATTCACCTGGATCCTTTCTGTGCCATCTCACGCCTGTGTTTGCTCATCCTGGATGGGTGAATGTTTTCAGTTTAAGCCCTTAACGGAAGAAACTGTTCTTAGTGGAGCAGCTTTAGTCAGCTCAGGCTGCTTAAAGGAATCTTATTAGGTGCTGGAGCATGTTTCACACTTCCCAGGGTCTTTGGAGCTGCTTCTTGGTGGGTCACAGAGAGGTGGCCACAGCCAGGAAGGTGCTGTAACACAAATCAGGGAGAGGATCTTGTCTGGGGGTTACATTTGACAGTGCCAGCTACTGAGCGGCCAAATTCAGTCTGTGCTGGTTTCAGTGTTCAACTTGGGGGCATGGAAACCCATGAAGTGTCAGTGAAGGGCTGAAATTCCCTCATTTGCCCTCTTTGCCTGGCTTCAGCAGAGTGGCGCAGGGAGCAGAGCCGGAGATTGGAAAAGCTTTGAAATAGAAACGTTAAGGAGGGCGCGGGACGAGCTCTTGGCTGGGTTTGCTGGCTCATCTACATCGCTCGGGGCCTGCGTGCTGCTGCACAAAGGAGCTTTTCATCCTGGGTATGAGACACGCTGACCTGGTTCGATTTATGGGAGCTTTGCTTCCATCAGAGCGAGCGTGTTTGTTTGGGGGCTGGAACAGAACCAAGAGCATTTGTCTCAAAAAGAAAATCCCAGTTCTCCTTTTGTCAGAAACCCGAGCGGGAGGAGGATGTGACCAGGTGAGCACGATCTGTAGTTGTTGCAAGGCTGTGGCTTAAATGAAACCAGGGGAACCTCAATCTGCAGTGTGGAGACTGATTTTAAAAGAGTGTGAAAGGCTCYTGTCCTTTGGGTGCTGAGCCCATGTCTCCTGTAAAATCCCAGCTGCAGGAGCAGGATGAGTAGAGAGGGCAGCTGTTTGCAGGGGCTGGAGCTGGGGKTCTCTGCAGCCTGCAGTGAGCACTGGTTTAATTCTGTTGTATTAATGTTGGAAGAAGTTGCTGGCGTTTGCTTCTAGAAGCTATTTTTAYAGCTTCGTGTAATCACCCGAAGTTATGCGATACCTTTTGGGCGTGTGGATGCGGGAGAGGTCCGAGCTGAGATTTTTTTTGGACAGAAAGCCAGAAGGCTCCTCTGGCTGGGCAGAAGCATGCCAGCCCCACAAACGGATGCACCTTGCCTGTGCAGGGAGGGCAGGCAGAGTGTTTGTGGAAGCGTGTCCCTGCATGATCTGCCCCGCCRCTCTCAGCTGTTTCAAACACGTGTCTCCTGCTCGGTGGCGCCGTGAGCTGGAACYTGGCCATGGCCCTGGGGCTGGAGCTGATCTCTGGTGGGATTGCTTGGGAGAGGAGAGCCCAGCTCCTTTGAAGTTGCTGTGCTGTTTAATATTAAAAGTCAGCGGTATTTGCTTGCATGTCTTGGCCAGGTCAGTTTTGTCATGGGGTGTGTTTGCACAGTGAGAGCTTGTTTGGAAGAAACCAAGAGAGGGCCAAAACCAACCCGACACTAACATGTCTTGCATCTAATTAAATTTTTGGTTCTGGTTTGTTGCGTTCCAAGACATCCTTTCCTGAGAGGTGGGAATTCGTCAGCTCAGGGATCCTTATCCTGGCGGTGGAAACGCCCTGGGTCACCTCCTGGGCGCGTGTGCAGGGCTGAGCACAGCAGGGCTGCAAATGCTATTATAATATAAATAAATAATCACAGCCCAACTGTGACGGTCGCACCCAGGGAAATGCGGCGCGGCAGGAATGCTGAGCTCAGAAATGAGCCGTGACATTATTTTAGGCTTGGAGACACTTTATGAAAAGTGATTTAAAGGATTGCAGCTGTTTGATTTCACAGATGAGGCAAGTGAGAGGGGATGTTGTGAAGGGGCAGGAGGTAGTGGAAGCAGGATGGGGAATTTTTCTTCTCCCCTTACATAAAACCCAAGGGAATATCCAATAAAAAAGGGGGGGGGGGAAAGTGTATTTCAAGTAAACAAACAGAAATATGCTTTGTACATATGGGCACCTCCTCCCAGCAGCATGTTCCACGAGTTACTGCTGAGTTCGGAGCTGGCAGAGAAGATCCAGTACCGGTTGAGTGAGGATGTTTGTTCTCTGGTTTCACTCTGGGTTGCCAGCTTTGGGCTGGGCTGTGAACCCGTGGGYCTGACCCAGACTGAGCTCTCCCCGATGGGTGATGCAGTGAACGGGCTCTCCCACAGGGTAAGCACATCCCCAGCCACACTCAGGTGTCTTCCTCCTCTTCCTCCTCACTCAGAAATATCTGGTCCCAACAGCTGTTGGGAAGGCTGGATGTGAAAATATTGCAAAATTTTATAATGACCCTGGGTTTAATTCTGTCTTAGTAGCCAATGACTCGCAAAAAGCTTTGACGAGTTATCATGCTCTTAACAGGAAGAAGGAACGTGGTGAAAAGGTTCTGGTTTGTTTGACTTTCTTGAGGTAAAACTAAAATCTCCAATAATCAGCAGTTTCTTCTTAAGGGCACGGAGTGGTTCCTGGCCAAAGTGCAGGGAAAACATTTCTGTTTTCCATATTCATTAGCTGTAATGTTGGGGTGCACAGTTGACTTCTGTCATGTTCAGCTTGGAAACRGAGGAATTGTTTGAATGCTCCATGACCTTTAGCTAAAGGTGAAAAAACGCATTACTTACGCTCTTAACCTTCTAATGTGTCCAAAGTTCATGCTCTCTCAAAGGAAACTTTTGCATGAAGGATATTCATTTTCAGGCAACCTGCAGATATTTTCTGTAAACAGATCAATTTTCCTGCACAGTGCATGTCCCCCTTTCTTTTTAAAGCCTCTTCATGATCAATATTCCCTGGGAGCAGATGCGCTCCCCTCTTTCCCTTCTGTGTGAATCCAGTTTTTTTGCTGTGACCTCTTACCAGCCTTCCTTCTCCTTTTGGTGCCCTGATATTTTAGAGAAGGAGTTGTGTGGCTTTGGGTGCAGGCTGAGCTTTCCAGGAGGGTGCTATGAGGTGCAGGAGATGCTGGGGSTCAGGACACACGAGGTGTCCTCCGGCAGCAGCTTCTGTGACAAAACAGCTCCTGTTTTTGGGCTGCTTTAGGTGTTTTACGTACTAGAGATACTAAACAGATTGGGGATTGATAGGATTGGAGTGTGTTCATATTTGCATGAAATTGGTGTTCCATCATCACCTGAATTCCCCTTTGTGATCACTTTTCCCTCTTTACAGAACAAGAGGCTGGTTTTGCCTGCTGTCTGCCCTCATTCCCTGCACACAGCTTCATCTGGGATGGAAAGGTGACCTCAAGCCCTGCTCAGCTCTGCTCCAGCTGAGYCCATTGTGCTTTTCCCGTGCCACCTCTCCTGGCTGGGAGCAGCTCAGCAGCTCCTTCATTAAGCTGCCCATTTGCAAAGCAGCCCTTGTGCAGGAGCGTCCCAGCCCGATCGCTCGTTTGCTTTGGCCCATGATAAATAACTTCCTTGTCTGTGTGAACCGGGGACAAGGGCTTGGTGCAAACTTGCGTGTTGATTTGGTGTCCAAGCCAAAAGGTGGCCTGGGGGGAACCGAGTGCCTTCCATGGCCAGACTCCTCCTCCCAGCAGTTTGAGCTGGAGTTAAATCAGTGTCCTGCCGTGGAAGGTGCAGGCTGTGGAGRTGGCAGGAGCTGGCTCCTCTCCGTGGTGACACGAGCAGTGTGACACAGTGGCACCAGGTAAGCCTGCAGAGGGGCACTGTGTTGTGCATTGCTGCCTTGGAGTAGTTACTCACACTTTTGTCTCCTGGGAGCAAAATGCCAGTCTGTGTCAGCACTCCAGGAACCAGCAGAACTGAAGAGTTTGTGGTGCACCACCTCCAAGCGTGGGGAACGACCTCCCTCCTGCCACCGGCTGAACGAGGGACATCCTGGATTCTGCCTGCTGGGCTGCAGCTCCTGTTTTAAGGAACGACTTGAAAATAAAAGACATGCCTTGGAAATACTGACTSTGACGAGGTCTGTCAGGAGAACTCAGCGCGATCTCTCCTGAGTCCCTTTCCAGTGACAGGTTGCATTAACTGTGARCAGCTCAGCAGTGGATTTGGGAGAATTGGCTTTCAGCTGTGGGACTGGGAGAGCATGGAGGTGAAGAAACAGGACGCCTAATTCCCTGCCCTAGGGTCTTCCTCCCATTGCCAGGAAGAAGGAGTTGGCTTACAGCAGTTTGTATTTAAATCTTGTTTTCCCTAGGATACAGCCTTTATCCAAAACACTTCTTTTACTTCAAGCTATAGTAAACTTGAGTGGTT